TTTCGTACGGATCATCTCCATTGCAAAGTCCTAATTTTATTTTGTAACGCGCTTTACTATCCTTACACTGAATATTTTCTATATATCCAGGCAAAAAAAAAACATTTTTTTGACCTAGAAAGCGCTGACTTTATGTTACTAGCCATATTAACATATAAAGCGTGCACATGAGCTTGTCCTCCAGATGCTCCCCCAGCAACAGTTGCTAAAGCGTGCGTGACGTCACTGCAACCATTAAATCTATACCTAAAGATCTATTTTCCCAAGGTTATAAGTTTGTCTCTTTTGATGTTGAATCTCTTTTCACCAACGTGCCTTTGCGTAAAACCATCAACATTGTACTAGATCGCATTTACAAAAGATATTATTAATACCACACTCCGAAAATCAACACTGAAAACAATTATTATTGATTCATGCACCAAAACTACATTTTCTTGCAACGGTATTCTTTATGGACAATTTGATGGTGTTTCCATGTGGTCTTCTCTCGGTCCCGTCTTAGCTAATATAATTCTCACTGAGTTTGAAAACATCATTGTCACTGATTTGATCAACTCAGGTATCCTTAAGTTTTACCGACGTTATGTTGATGATTAATTTAATAATTTTGATAAAAATCTTAAATTTACTTTTGATGATTATTCTGACTCACATGTCCACTTTAAAGACCTCAAAATAACCAATAATGACATTGATATATTCCGTAAAACAAATCATACTGGCAACAACATACACACATTTTTCAAGTTTCGAACCTTTCAACCTCAAAACTACTTGGATCAATTCCCTATATTTTCGTGCATTTAAGATTTGTTCTAACCAAACATTATTCAAAAAACAAATTTAAACATTCCAGTCTTTTATGTCATGGAATAGTTTACCTCTTACAGTCCGGAAATTCTTGATTCATAAACTCAAAACCAAAATCATAGCTAAAAATAACCCCTCTAAACAAAATACTGAGAATGACTTTCGTAAAATTTTCATTAGAATACCATATCTCTGCAAACAGGGTGAACGTTTGGTTTTCAATCTTCTTCGTAAAATTCGCCTTAGCTTAAAAATTCCCATTAAACCTATAGTTATATATCAAACAAAGACGACATCAATTTTCTGTCCCAAAAAGGACAAAATTCCGGAACTCTCTAAAGCCAATGTTGTATATGAGTTTAAATGTCCAGGTTGTGGTCATACATACATAGGCAAAACTGAACGAAACCTACACACAACACTAACCCAACACGCCACTGATGATGTCTTTGGACTAAAGACGAAATATTACACCATCTTTTGTTTTAAAACTCTTGTATTATCTTGAATATTAAGAGATGTCCGTTTTCGGAATTTGTTTTATTTTGTTTTAATTAAATCATTTGAAACTATGCTAATTCATTTCACATCTTGTTGAATCGTTTCTCAACAGCTCGCGCCAAGACTGCATAAATTACGTCATTGTAAAACATGTTAAGTCAATTCGCTATACATTAACGGATCGTTTCGAATTACGGCAAATCATTTCTAACAACGCTCAGTCGTTTGCAATGCCATTGAATTTTTGCAAAGCAAATCGAATCATTTCACATTCTCATGAATTATTTAGGATCACAACAAATCGTTTCAAAACGCAATCAATAAACGTGTTATATTATTGCAAAGCATGTTGAGTTATATCACATAGTTCAGTTAAATGAAAACTGAAGTTGTTGAATCATTGCAATATGAATCGAATCATTTCATGACAAGACGAATCATTTCTTAGCATGTCCAATCAATTCAGTAAACGACGTTCAATCATTTATAAAAACGATGAGTCGTTTGTGTTTGTGTTGAAACGTTTCACTTTACGTTGTTTCATTTTACATGCGCGGTCTTTTCGGTGGTAACGGCCGCCCATACCCAGGCCTCTGAAGTAAACTGTTGATTTCTTAATTATGAGATGTAAAAACACAACCTACTCTATCCCACTCCACAACAACTCAAAAATTGCTCCGATATCTTTTGCAGTTTTCATTCTGACAAAGAAAACTCTTCGTTTGAATAGAAACTTAATCATTAGAAAGCAATAAGATCGTATAATATGACTAGCATTAATGTATTAAATGTATTAAAGTAGTACAAGCTTTTTTGATTTTCCAGAAAAATGATCACGTGTTCTTCGTAAACAGATTGCTGATTGATCTAACCTGAATTTCCTCTTTATTTACTGATATGTTAATTTTAATTCAACTATCAAAAAGAACAAATAGTGAAAATGAAGCAATTCAGTAGTTGCAACCAGTACAATCAACACAATGCACATATAATTATTTGAGTGCTTTGTTCTTAAAAACACATTAGAAACTCCTGCAAATTAGGATAGTTATTTAGGTTATATAGATTGCAAATATTTATTAATTTCTGCTGCGAGGGCTTGGATTACACTCGAGTTTTAAGCTGTAGTTAATGTCCATTTAAAAATGATTCTAGTCGTTTTATTATAAAATGCACTGGCAGAATTTGACAAAACTCAGACCCATTGTACGAGCCATGACACCATTGTAAGACTCATAGACGATCAACAATTGTGTAAAATCCACAATCAACCAGTAAATCCCACAGCTTACCAACAGTGGAGTGATTCTCCGCTTCCCATCAAGATAGAACACTCTCAGCAGGATTCAAAGACGCTTTCTTGATTTTATCAACGTCATTCTTTTTCAAGTCTATGTAGTGGCGACTTGCTAGAATTTCCCAATATTCTACTATGAAAAAAATATTTACGTACAGGGTTATCTGAGGGCACTTGCATGACACAGTTTGCAATCGATATTGCCTTGAATAAGTATCAGAAATCTGAAATGATCTCAGATTTTTCAATAATAATTGTGATAGACTACATCATGCGTGTGTCAGTAGATTCTATCAATGAAAAGGGCCTGAAGTATCAGCCTAGAAAAAGCTCACGCTACCCTGCACTCCACATCACTGATGCAGATTTTGCTGATGACATTGTATTGCTGTCTGCCAATCTCCAAGGTGCCCAATCTCTCCTTTCTTCTCTTGAGTCAGCAGCCAACTGTGCAGGTCTTCATCTCAATGAAACCAAGACTGAATTTATGCCAGTTAACATCCGCAACAATAAGGAGATCAAAACACTGTCAGAAAATATTCTGAAATGTGTTGAAGACTACAAGTATCTAGGATCACACATAAAGAACTCATAGAAAGACTTAAACATCAGAAAAAGTATTGCATGGACTGCCTGCAACAAATTGGATAAGACCTGGAAATCCAACCTTGATCGGAAATTTAAAATCCAAATTTTTCGAGTTCTTGTTGAGCCCATCTTATTGTACGGTTCTGAGTCTTGGACCCTTTCAGCCAAACATCAGCAGCGTTTAGATGGATGTTATACACGTCTCATAAGAAGAGTTCTCAATCTCTCTTGGCAAAACCACCCAAACTTTAGAAAAATATAGGAAGACCTACCAAGAGTATCAAACTTAGTTTGTAAGAGACGTGTTCAGTTCGCAGGCTATTGTGCACATGCAACTGATGAACTAGTGTCATCATTTGTACTTTGGAGACACCCATCATCTGAGAATAGATTACGCAAGTTGACCTTTCCAGATAGGTTAAAGAGAGACACAACAATTTCTAAGGAAAATCTGGTAGCAGCTATGAAAGATAGAAAATACTGGAAAGATGTGGTGAGTTCAATCTCGGCTGAGGCCGCAAGATGATGATGATGAGATGAACTCACTAGATAAACGCTCTGTGACATCCTTACGAACGCCATAGCTCATATCCTCTAATTTTTTCTTGCCAAAACATTTCATAGGACCTGTGAGAAATCAACGGAAACCAAACATTTTGGATACTACACCAATTTCTTACAAAAATCCTTTATTTGCAACAAACTGTGCAAAATCTAAATTTAAGTTCCTTCAACGTAAAACCAGGTTCCTTTAACTAGACCATATTTTAGCTAAAATATAGACCAAATTTTAAAATTCACATTTATATATTCTTTTGTTAAATCATTAGTTCACAAATAGGTTGCATAACCGTGCTGCCAGCAGGGAAACTTTTCTCATCCAAAGACAACACCCCCAAAATTATTTTTCAGTTAAAGTTCTTAAAAAATCAGATTTTCTTTTCTTTCAACTTCTCCATAAAATCAGCACTATCACCCACGTCACATCTCTCCCTCAAGATTTTTGTTGCTATATTGGAGAGAACAACAGGGTCAAAGTGCTTAAGTTGCTGCATCAACTGGTTTTTTAGATCGTCAGGTATGTTCTTTATAACTCGCAGACCTTTACAAAAGATGGATATTTTATATAAAAATGCTTCAATAGCAATTTCATAGTCCCAGTCTGTCAACACCATTTATACAGATTCTTCAAGATAAAAACAAAGAAAGTGTTGTACATATTGTCAAATGCAAATGAGAACACCAAAAAGATGAGAAAAAAATTATTGTCCTGGCTTAATGGTCGGGAGGATGGCTTAGCAAACACAACCAAAGTAAGCTAAGTTTCACAAAGTTGGCTAAAGAATAGTAGTGCATTTGATGGTACTTGGAAATCGCTGCTGAATCGTTAATGTCGTCTTTCTATAATGTCGTTCATGTCGTCTTTTTCAGTCAATTGTCGCTCATGTCGTCTTGTTGAATTGCCATTAATATCGTCAGTTTGAAATGTCATTCATGTCGTATTTTTGAAATAACGCTTATTCTTTAAAATGTTAATATTTAGGTCATCTTCTTGAAGTGTCATTTATATCACAAATTAATCTTTAATTGAGAAAAATTACGCTGTGATGCATCAGCTAGTTTAATTATTTATTGAGAAAAATAAGGCAAACATGTTTTCGTTTCTCTGTTAAACTTACTTACCTTTTTTGTTTTTCCTTAAGCTTACGTCACGAGTTTCACCCATGGTGTTTTGTTGAAACTTATCAGGTAGCTTGACATTCAAATCCGTTTCTATTTCATAATCAAAACCTCCCTGTTTACAATTTTTTAATGCTAGAAGCAGTGCTTTCACAGAAGCACTTCTTCCATCCCTTTCATACCATGTTTTTTAGCACACATTGTGTGGGATTCTCAAAGTATTTTTCAGCAATGATGTGTTCTTTGTCTTGTGGCAGGTTCAGCACTTTGTAAAGTATTGAAGAATAATCAATTTATATTTTAGTTCGACATTACGCTAGCGTAATTATTTGTGTAAAGTAGTAATAAAATAAAATATCATACAGGAAAGGGTCAAGTAAGAACCTTGAAATACTTTACTATTACCTTTTCCAATTATTCTCTAATACGTTATTTTCTTCTTTTAACCGTTCTTCTAGCTTTCTTTAAACATTATTAGGTAATTCAGAATAGGTTGTTTGTAGATTAAGCACAGTGAATGACTGGTCATCCCCAAAACCATTCGCAGACTCTAAATCTGTGAATATGGAAATATAAAGTGGATAATGCATAAGTCGTGTCAAAAGAATGTATTTTATAGAGAAGGAAAGTCTTTTATAGCTTCCCCAATTCAACGTTGGCTCATGCAGTCTACTTTTGAAGAAGTGGAGAATACTCAGTGATACCTTACATCAAAGGTACGTATGAGACTATCCCGCGTATCTTACGACCATACAACATACGTGTCGCACAAAAACCAATCACAACTTTACGACAAGAACTAACGAACATAAAGGGCAAAGAACAACCCAATGAACGACAAGGTGCAGTTTACAAAATAAACTGCTACGACTGCCACCTCTCATATATCGGGGAAATTGGCAGGAACTTAAACATAAGACTTACTGAACACAAACCAGCTACTATGAAACAACACAAAACTAATCACATTGCCGAACATCACCGAATGACAAAGCACAACATTGACTGTGACTTGGCAAAATGCATTACTTACAGTACTGACTATAAACAACGGCTTACACAAGACAGTTGGTATATCAACTTGGAACAAACCCCCCTGAACAGATCACAGCAATTACCGGCACCTTACAAACGACTTATTCACAATACAAACAAAACGATCAACTAAAAACATTACACTTCACACTAATTCACAATAACAATACACAATTGACACCCACACATTACAACTAAAAACATCACACCTAAATCACACATCACAACTAATTCACAATGACAATACACATTTCCTGTACACACAACACAATGACATAAGAACCAGGGTCGGAGGCGCTGCGCACCTGGGGGTTCTGAGGCATTCTCCCTGAGAAATTTTGAATTTCAGAGCCTTGAAAATGCCATTTTCAGCGTTTTAGAGCAATACAAAATGTATTTTGTGGGCATCGTTTTGCGTAAAACAACACATTTTGCTTACGTTTTTCAGAAAAAAAATGAATTGAACAATACTTGAATGTTTTGCCAAATATTTAGGCTCATTATCATGCCAAATATTTAGGCTCATTATCATGCCAAATATATGGCTCATTAGCATGTCTAGGAACGTAAAATTCATTTTACAATAATGCTATTCAAAAAGATATAGTCTTTAAAATTTCTACCAAGTTAAAGGCATAGAACCCCTAGAGACCCCCATTCAAACCTCTATGTAATGAGTTAAGTTAGAAATTTGGTACTACAAGTGACAGTTCATAGATATAGAAAAGCTCAGACTTCAAACCATACAAGTTTGTTGTAACCCTTTACCCATCTCCACATCAGTGCCAGCAAATTCACTTTTGAGAAAAACTCAAAATTTTTTCTGCCAAAGATTAAGCAAAATTATCAGAGTAAAATTTGCAGTTAAGGAGCTTAATGCCATAAATGTTTATTAGGCATTTCCATTGACTATTATCTTCTGCAAGGTGTGCTATATAGCAATCACTAGTAGCATTGTATTATCAAATACAAACAGATTGTAACCAACATGTCTTTAATTATATAATTACATGAATGTTAAAATTGGTTCATGTGTCATGCTTACTGGTTATGATAAATATCTTTTCATATGATCAAAGCTCGTTTAAATGTAAATCTGAAATAATTTAGTTTAGAAATTATAATGATCATCAGAAAATTACCTAGTGATCATGAAAAATACTTTGCTGTTTTGCCAAATTTCAAGGTTTATCTGCATACGTAGGAAGACATTTTTACTTTATAGAAAATGCTTTTCATACATCAATAGCTCTTTGGAGTTTATGGCAAACAATCTGGTATGATCCGTAGATTAACACAACTTTACATCTCTACATGAGGTGTTCAGTTAGAAAAGGGACAATATGTGACATTGGACAACATTTCATGTATGTGAAATACTAAGGTTTAATACCATTCTAGTCAAATTGTCAGAATAAAAAGCTTCATGGATCAGAAGACTCAAAATCACAGGTTATAGTAAACAGCTTCTCATGTAATCAATGTTAGTTTTCTCAAATCTTAAACAATATGTAGTATAACTGTCTAATGATTGAATGATCAATGATCATAAACTGAAAAGCCCCAAACATTTGTTTATGATAAAGTAAAAATAGTATGGCGCCTTATGGCTTCAGATTTTTTGTCCATTGAAATATATTTGCAGGAATGTAGAATTTCGCTGCCATATAACGGTCACGATTCCCCAAGCACTAAAGAAATCATAGCTAAAAGTCCTCTGGCAACAACAATTTTAGAAGCATCAATCTGCTTACCATACGCCATATCAACATAAATCGCATCACACACTCGCATAAATTGACTTTGATATATTACATTCATGCATACACTTCACTTGTCCTTTACTTACGATTTTGGATGTAAATTTCTGCTGAAAAAACTCAAAACAATGTTGGCTTGCTTTTGAACATCAATGACTGAAATGTCACTCGCGAGATCGTCTTTGCCAAGCATTTACAATTCATCCATAAATTTTTCGCCCTCTTGAAAAAATTCACAGTTTGGACAGCAGCATTCATGTCAATATATGAATTTGTAAAAGATTTCCATAAATTCCATCTGATTGTAGTTTAGTTTCTATCATGCTTTTAAAAATTACTATGAAACGATCAAACATTCAATTCGGGACAGTGAGCTTGACTATGTTAGTTCAGTTGGCTATCAGTCGAAATCCATCAAACCAATCACAATAAAACAAAAATTCAAATGAACCAATTGTAAGATAGCAATTGGACTCCCTTATACGTCCGGCCACCCCTATTAGGGAGTTTTAGCAAAGACTACGAGTACGACAATGAGTACGATTTACGTCATTCTGGCGCGTAATCGTTGTTCCGACAACAAAAACACGTAGCCGTCATCAATCTGAGTACGATGTTTTGTAAAAAATTCGTTGTCGCGACTACGATGTCTTTTTAAGCAAAGAAAGTAGGTATATTTCTTCATTCTGTAAGAAATTAGTTTACAGTACTATTTTGGAGCATCCAGGCTTTAATTTAGAACCCTTTTTGAGCGCAGATGTACATTAAAAAGGAAAATATGACCTGCAAAACTTTCATGTATTTCGTACGCAAAGTGAAAGGTAAACAGCAATAAAATAGTACAAATATATCGTACATAAAACTTAAAATAGTGAAGATTTTTCAGTCTAAAGAGTCCTATATTCTTGCAAAACCAGTATTATCGATTCTTTGATATCATTATTGACAAATAGAGCCGTAGCTGCTTCGCAAACGTCGGTGTTTTACACAATAAAAAGGCTCGTTCTGTTGTTTACAGCTAAAACTTAATCTTGACGAAGCGACAACGACAACAACCTTCCTCGTGCCATTCTCTTACACGGTCAAATTTCGTACTCGTAGTCGTAGTCTTACTCTTGCTAAAACTCCCTATTATCAGTCGAGACCATTTCAGACTGTCCACTCATCTGGCCATTGACCAATAAAATAAGTGTTTTGGCGTTCATAGACTCCTTTATCCGTCGAACCAGTCAAGCCACCCCGCTTATCAGTTGGTTATTCTAGGTCAATTAAAATTCAACTGATCTGGTTACCAACGAGATATTCATTGGATTAGTCCTTAGTTTTCAATAATAAATAAAGCTGGATTTTTATCACGAAGTAAATGCGATAATAAAGTAAGAATAATTAATGAATTTTAATTAATATAAATAGGTAATTTTGAATTTCAAACATCAGTCGCGCGACGGATTTGACATACTCTAGATCCGCCCTGTGTACATGATTGTCAGTTACAGTAAAATAATTTATGCTGTAGCTAAACGAGCAAAAGTCATGGCTTATTCAATCAAGACAACAAAAAATATTGTTTTTTACCCTGAAATCAATTTTTTAAGAACAATAAAAATTGCCGTGACAAAATTGTATTCCCATAAATAGTTAACGTTAACCGAGACCTGTGTTAGAAATCGTTTGATAAGTGTAACTGGGTAATCGGCGTTATTATTTCTGAGAGATGATGCTGTTTGATAAAAAGATAGTCAAATTTACTTACTGAAGGAGCGTTTTATATTTCTTCCCAATAAACTGAAATCGTTTTATGCATTCTTCATAGAACATTATTATAATATTGTACACCTTCAATGGGATTATCAACTGATTTGCGAGGCTCTGCAACAAAGAGAAAAACAACATTATTTTCACATAATCAAATACAAAGTTTACTGATTCACAGTTGATTATTTTGTTTTCAAAAATCGTAACTAAATCTTGACGAAATTTTTTCTTCATTATGTACGGCCGTGTCGTCATATTTTTGTTAACGAGCGCATCATTACGAAAATCGTTGCAATTCAACAATAGTGTGGCCTGCGCTTAACTCAATTAATAATTAATAATTTGCCCTGAGATATTTTTTTACTGTTATTGGTTAACTGCAATGCAGTTTTTCTGTAATTACACCGTGAAAATGTGCAAAACACATGTAGATGCACAGTAGATTGTAGCTTGTGTTTTGATTTGCTTGTAAGTGGTTGCAGTATGTCGGTCTAGTACTGTGAAAGTTCGTAAGTAAGCCACCGACGGAATGATACAATTGGTCGCAAGGGTATTTGGGTATGTAAGGTTTAGGTTGTCGTGGTACAGAACAACTAAGTCAATAGTAAGTACGTTCAGATGTGATGTTAGACTTTTTCAAAGAAAAGATCTTGTTGTTAAGTTTGCGCAGTAGTGATGTTGTTGGGTTTCTTTTGTGTTTTTAAACGTTTGTTTGTCGTTAACAAGTGTGTCCATTTTGTCGAAGAAATAGGTCTTGTCCATGACCCCAGTCACGCGTCGTTTAGTCGTTTGAGTGCTTGTTGCTCGTCCTTTGTCAAGTTGTTAGCAACGGTCGATTACAAACAAAAATACTACAGCAAAAACATTCATATTGTGTTGTTAATTTCACATGCTTCACAAGATTAATTACCCTTCATCTTGAAAAATAAGCAATTCGAGGGACACACGAAGCAAAAAGTACTTAGAACGTTGACCAATGTGCTCAAAATTACAATTTCGCTGTACACATCCAACAACAATTGATTCATTTCATGGTGCCCTTGTAAATCATATAAAAGCAAGTAATCGATGTGGCCGAAAGCATTAAGTGTGCACAATAAGCAAGAAATTTACGTTCTATTCACGATGACGTCATCAAATGATCATCAAAATCAAAAATTTGCAAATTCTGAAAATTATAAGTGCCATTGGATAGACTAACTTCAGTTTGGTAAAAAATACATTAAACCGTTTTATTTCGGTCATTCATTTCTATCATGATCCTGATATGTCTTGTCTTATACCACAGACAGACATGCAACTCACCCAGGTTTACCGGCTGTCACCTAAATCCTAACACAAATCTCCTGAACACCAGATTGGCAATCATATTCACCCGTTTAAAACTTTTGCAGTAACACGTATGTAGTAAATGTATATTTTCAACGAATAAAATTTGAATGAGTGTTTAATTGAAAACTGTATACACCATTACATTGACGAACAGAAGAACTTGGTAAAAATGAATTGTGTATGAACAGAAAACCAAGAAAACCCAAGTAGATTTCTTGTTTATACAAATTGTTTGAAAGATTTGAACGCATAACTTATAAAAGCTCAATATTTTTGCCATACAGTCAGTCCGACCTGATTCGTTCAAAATTATTTCACTAACTATATGTCATTAAAGAAGGGTAGAGTGGTGGAAAATCTAATGTTCTGGATATTTTTTTTAGATTTAGGTGACAGCCGATAAAGTTGTGCAAGCTGGCAGGTCTGTTTGAGGTATAAGTCATTGATCTGAAAAATAGTACCTGTATAGAGCTTTCACGTATGAAACCATTATGAAAATTGAAGCCAGTTTTGATTTTACACACTCGATTCTTTTGACCACTCAATCACAATATGGTGTAGAGTTAGCTGAGCAATTGCGACAATGCTTTGTTCATGCTGCATCAATTGTTACTCTCAAAACTGCGGCTATTTATGTACAAGTAAATTTGTAGGAAGCATCGTTGCAATCGCACAGTCAACTCTACGCCATATTGTATTTAAGTTGTCCCAAGAATCGGGTGAGTAAAATCTAAACCCGTTGCAATTTTCATATGTTGAAGCTCTAACCAGGTACTAATTTTTCAGATCAATGGTTTAATTAAACACCTTAAAATGCTGTGTCAGCATTATGGTAGCAAATAGTTATTGATGCTTCATCAACGAGTGACTAAAAGTAAACTGTATAATATACTTTTTTCACTCAACTCATGCTAATCTATCTAATGGTACTGAGAATTTTTTTATATTTGCAATTTTTTTCTTTTGATAAATATTGCTGACATTATCGTGGAAAAATGTAAATATCTGCTTATTGGGCACACTATTGCTTGCGACAACCTTGAAAATACTTGCTATTGCAATATTTTCTACAACACTATGAAAGAAATTATTAGTTGTGAAAGGTGTGCAGAGTAGGATTTTAGACATCCACATACATTGACCTTACGTTGGTAACCTTCAACAAATGCAACAACAATTTTTAGTATTGTGTTGCGACTATAAATAAATTTTGTGCGTATTTGGTGTTAAGGAAGTACAAAGTAGACTGTTGGACAATATAGTTACCATGTTTTGAAAAAACTTTCAATAGATATTTTCAAGTGTTTCTCTTCTATAACCTGAAAGAATATACACCACGCCATCGTTATCAACTGTCATGCATTCAAATTGTGAATCATTAATGTTGCAAATTTTTGTGCGCCACGGTTGAAGTTGTCACAAATGATTGTTGACATTTTAAAAGAATCTGATGATCTCCAAAAAAAATCAGAAGTTCTCCTCAAGGTCGGCGGAACATTGATAATTTTGGGATAGTGTTATTATTAATATATGCATGTTTTACTTTGTTAGTTTTAATTGACATCAATTGTGTTACGGATTATACATATGAATATATAAAAATAGCCCATCCAATTATCTACGTTCTGCCGCCAGTGGTTCTCCTTGGTTAAAGGAGACTTGAAACTTGTCTAGAGTTCCATTGACATACTTTTTGAAGCAGCCTAATGTCGACTTTTCCTTTGTTCAGTGTAAAAACAGTTGTCTTGAATTACTAATGGTAAAATATACAGTTTGATAGTCGACTTTATTTACTTTTTATAGGCAGTGTTGCCATGTGGCAGCAAAAACAAAACAATTTTAAACACGAGAACAAAAAATTTGCCTGCTAAAGAGTTAAAACATCCCCACTAGTGACGCAAATAATTCGATTGTATTGATTAAGACATACTGATCTAATTGTATTCTTTCGTTCACTTGAGAGCCTAGCCTTTATTGCTGACGATTGTAAATTCCTTACAGGGAATGGTAAGCTACTAATTGGAGGTAGAATTCTTTTTGTAGTAAAATATGGACAACGAATTTCATTGGCAAGTGTGCTTAGAAGTTCTTTTATTAAAAAATATTGTTGATTTGTTACCCACGCTAGGAGCTCGTTTGTCTATCTGTGTTTATTGGTTCTGAGCAGAAGATAACTCATGAAATATTTAAACACATTACAATAAATGCTGTGAATGCGTTTCCCATTAGCTAAAGTGAGCGATGGATTAAAATTTTGCTAAAATTAAAATCTTTTCCCATCTTATTGGGAAATATCACCTGCAACAATAAGAATTCGGCCGCCAATAAGAGACGCTTACCATTACCTATCAGGAATTTACAAGCGTCTAAAATTCAGGCTATTGAGAACCTTGCAAGTATATTTTACCTGTATCTGATCCAATATCTAGGCAATTGTACTTGTCCTTGATTACTTCCAGCAGTAACTGAACAACAATGAATTATAATAACAGTAAGAAGTTCGTAGAATTGGTAGAAAATGATCGTTCTTGCGAAGTGAGATCATTAATATTAGTTTGTTAATTGCAACAGATGAGAAAGTTAATGTTTTAATGCACACAAGTTTAGCGTGCCCGTACAATGTGCTGCTGAAAATATTGCCTATTAACCTTAAAACTGAATTTGTTATGAGTCAATTAACTCCAAACCATGCATTCTATAGAGGGCCATTTTTCTTTTAAGAGATTCATTTTGTGCATCTATATAGAATAACATATTTAAACTATATCCTCGGTCCGTCGTAAAGCGATTGAAACAGACGTGTTGCAAAATTCAAATTTCTTTACAAAATGTGCGTTGTCTGTTTCAAAGTAAGAAACAACCACCTAGGTTTATCGAAAAATGAGATTCAGCCATTCTCCTTTTTTATGAGGCTAACTGAACCTAACTTTAATATTAAAAGAAAGTTAATGTTTATATTTTGCTTTTTTTTAAAAAAGATACTCCATGATTTTTTATTATTTTCAAAGTCGTACAATTTGATCAATCACAAATTGGACGGCTTTACTACTGAGCTTTACATAAATTCATCAAGGGAATAGCGATTTTTATCGTTCTGGATGAAGTTGTTTTAGCTTAGTGCAATGCAAATCATTCATCGGATGAAGTATATCCATTTCATGGATAGTAATTCATTACTTCCTCCATATTTTTCCTTCAAAGTACACTATATAGCCTATAGTTTATCTTTTAGCAGGCAAAATGTTCATTTTATCTCAAATTGTCACTTTCAACCATTAGCGAAACCATATGTTATTTTTTATACAGCATTTTCTAGCAAATTTAAACATAAGTAAGGCGTATCACGTTTTTTTACAGTCTATCCAATTCTGTGATCTATGTATGAAGACTTATTTGCACTGTGGGACTTAATCTATGGTCTGGCTTTCGGCTCTACAACATCAATTTATACCTTCAAGTAGAACCAGGTTTAACTTTATTTGATAACAGTTTCGAGATTGAAAGAATTTATTGCTTCAGCTTCAACTGATCTATTTCATTAAACTATTTTGAAATCATTGACGATGCTAGGAATCGGATTTTTCCTGGATTAGCCAATTTATTTCAAATAGCACGCAACGGGGCTACTATAAATTTTTGCCTTTAAGTTTTCCCTTGGAATTTTAAAATGAAAGTAATAAATAATTCATTGCAATCATGTCTTGCAGTTTTGGTCTAAAATTAAATTCTATGACGTCAATTTGATATTTTGGAGAAATTTGTGTATTTGATATCTGTTGTGATTGTAGCAATGAAAGAATTTCTTTATTCAACCCAACGAGAAAGTACTTAATTATTTTGAGTATTAAAATTATTTTGATGTTATTGTTGACTCCAAGAATTTTAAAGTGGATCAATTCAATTTCATACCATAAATCCATCATTCTATATATCAACCTTAATGTGAACCTTAAGGTCAAGAAGTAAAGTACAATATTATATTTCAAAGTTTGTCCCTCTAGTGTTGAGTCTGTAGTTGGTATATTTCCAAGTATGCACTTATATGAAAATTATACAACCAGCGATTTCGCACAAACTTATATGTTTGATATAACTTACTAATCATCTTTGAAATGTACTGTTTTTACTGTTCAGTTCATGCTTGCGTGTACGTCTGCTTCCTTCTATTTAAGCTAAAGAAGCATCAGAATAGCTCTTATTACGTTAGTTTAAATATTTGTAGCTCTCGCGCAGTAAGAACTCTTTTTCTCTCTTTATATTTTCTAAACAGCAGGTAGTTAACAGCTGACCGAAAATTACTTCGTATTTTATTTCCCCTCACACCAAAAAAATTCATATATTAATTTGTCCAACGGAGATGATTTTATTGCAACTAAGTAACTGTCAACT